TCGCAGGTTAGTTAAGCCTGTAATCTTCCTGTAACCTTGCTATCACCGACATGCACACAGATTTGTCTAGACTTTGATTGAGCAATAGTAATTTTTCCATCTGACATGTTAGGTCAGTCTGTTTTCCACATGATATAGTGGGGGCGGGGGAGGCAAACAAATCAGCATTTTGGATATCTCCTTTGTCATTATCATAGCACTGCTTTTTCCATTCTGTAACAAAAAGATGAGTTTACATACCATAAAAACAAAAGGTACAAGTTTGAATCACTTATGTGTTTTCATGTTTGAATCACTCTTATAATTTTTCATGTTCTCACTCATAGTGGAAATTACAAGCATTGATTTGGGGTATTTCTGAAAAATGTGTCTTTTTTTTTTATTTTTATTTTTACTAACTTTGTTCAGCAGGTGACTGGGAATTCTCTGGTCCTTAGGAATGTTATGGTTATGAAAAAGGACAAAGATCCAATTATGGATATTTTTGGATAATCTTTTAAAATAAAATCTTTTAAAATAATAGATTTTCAGATACCTTTTTGAAATGTTTTTTTTTTAAAAATATTACAATAACAAAAATATATTATATAGAAAAATGCATCAATATACAAAAAAGTTATTATTTAAATATTTTACAACATATTAAATCAATGTAAAGGTTATCCAAATTTGAAAAGATTATCTAAAAATATTAAATCAAGGTCTAAATTTTACAGGGGTGTCTACTGTGTGACCAATTCATTAGGCAACCAAGAGTCTATCTACTTTTCATATAAGTGGAAGAAGGTTTAAAAAAAACAACCAGCTAAATAGCCAAATCCTTGTTTGATTGGTTATACCTTTACACCTTGCACATAGGATTAGAAATGAATGGGGGTAGCTATAAGCCACTCACTAATTTTTTTTCTAATAAGGCCCCAAACTGGCTTTGAAAGGGCAATTTAGCTTTTCTCTGTGATTTCTTTTTAAATGTAATTTGGGATAGAGATTGTGCTTACACTCAAGCTGGCAAAATGATATTCAGATCTCCTTCTTGATTCTTAGAAGACTATATTGCTGTTATTTTATTTGTATTTGATGATAAACAATTATATTTTCACTGTTTATTAGATAATTTCATATTGGGCCTGATTCCTCATGCTGAGTTGCCAACATTTGAAAAGACAATTTTAGGGACACTTTGTGGCAGATGTACACAGACACACAGACATACAGTGTCTCAAAAGATACAAGTACAATGACCTACACACAGATATATAGTGACACACACAAACTCTCTCACACACACCTTTAGATAAACACACTGACAAACTGACATCCTCAGAGAAATAAATTAATAAAACAAATATTTGCAGTCACCTTCCTGTGAGCTATGGGACAGGTATACTGACTGCACCCTGGAATGGGGGACAAGTCCAGGACTCATTTTTGTTGAGACAAGACCCTAAAATGTACAACTATGCTTGTGTATTCAGCTTCGTGGTAGAATACTTGAATACTCAAGCAATTCAGATGTGATTGGAGAAAGATTTTTTAAGAAGTCGTAATGTAATTTTTGCAAGTCCACAATTAAGACTAGCTTTCACATATATTCATTGCCCCTATTAGATACAGAAAAAAGATCTACGAACAAACACCACAAATATGTAAAAATACATCAGCAACAACTTGCAAGACATGTAGGATTTCATTAAGTTCATGCGCCCTATAAAACTTGCAGTTTTTGTAAATCCATTACTTTGCAATATGTTTTGACCAACAAATATTAATGGTATTCTTTCAATGTTTGTCTTGTACAAATATCTTACAATCTTAAAAAAACATATAGATTCATTGCCTTGGCAAACACTAAATGTTTATTAATCTTTTTCCAACAAGATTAAACTGTTGCATGAGTGGTTGCAACTAATAAGCTGTGTTGCATCACCTTTGCCATAATTCTAAACATAAAATATTACATAATAAACTTGGTAAATTCCCGGTTGAACTGTACCCACCTGAGGAATACACAGATTATTTTGTCTACTCTGTGAATGCTTTATGAAACCCTTGCATCCGTTTGGAGAATACAAATGTAGACATGAATCTGTATATTGTTCATAGTTCCTCTTTATTTGTAACAAGCAGTCAGTAATGTAGATTTAATTAAATTATTGCTATTTCTGATTTGAACTGCCACACAGTTAGGTCAATCAAGGTGTTGATGTAGGACTACCAGATCAAGATCCAGTCATGGCCAGTCCAATTCTAGCAGACAAAGTTATTCTTCTGGTCAGTGAAGACTGGTGGTATAGCACACATGAGGCAATGAGTTTGTTTTTATTAATTTTGAATGATACAAATCAAACTCATATATACACATTGTTGTGAGTAACAAATAGATATTGTAGATGTAACCAACAATTAATCTTTTGGGGATCTTTTCACTGGGATATAGACAGAGTTTCAGACTAGGATTTTCTTTCAATTCCTTAAACAACCACACAGGGCATTACCAATGTCAATTTGACCACTTGAAACGTCTGCTAGAAAGAGGAAGAGTTGTCCGACCTAGGCATTGGTTGAGCAATTTACTTTAACATTTAAGAATTATTTTGGTCATTGTGGTAAAAATTGCATGACTGTTCTTATACATCGTCTCACCCATGCCAGGAAATGCGATTAATCTTCAGTGTATCCTGTGTAGTTTGAGGACTAGTGTTAGGGAATCGTTTTGATGACCACATGTACTGAAAACACAACAAACAGCATCTTCTCACTAGGCTATAGACAAAGGTTCAGACAGTTTTTTTTTCTCAATTCCTTAAACAACCACACAGGGCATTAACAATGTCAATTGGACCACTTGAAACGGCTTCTAAAAATAGGAAGAATGGTCTGAACTAGGCATAATTCATTTGGTCATTCTGGTAATAATTGCATGACTGTTCTTATGAATCGTCTCACCCATGCCAGAAAGTTTTATTACTCTTCAGTATATCCTGTGTAGTTTGAGGACTGGTGTTGGGTAATAGTTTTGATGACGACATGTACTGAAAACACAACAAACAACAGACTTTCAGTGTATCATTAAAACAGAACAAGTAAGTGTACCATTAATATGAATGGTCTTTCCTAACGAATTGGCGAAGTAAGATCTGTGTTGTAGTCCAGCATCAACTAGTGAGGACAGTACCAGGCACTCAAAGACAAAACATTTTGCTACGGCAGCAGAGGTTGAATGTTTACTTTGACATTTGAACAAAGGCCCTTGTAGTATATTTTCCACGTGGACACCTTAGATGAAGAAACTATAATTAGGTTAGAATGCCTCTTTTGAACACAAGGGACTATAATACTCTGCTCTGTATTTTCTGTTTCTAATTACCAGGAGGAGAGCAATAATTATGTTCTGATTTCCCCACAGGGTTTCTGATGATTTTTATATGAGTTGTTGCTACATCTTTGCAGGATCATTGCTAATAATGATTATCTTGTTATATGTCTTAATCTGAGTTTTGTGTATGTTTCTTTTCGTGTGTTTGTTTACTTGTGAGCTTGTGTGTTTTGTTTGATTTAGTGTGTGCTTTCCTGCCACAAGCAAGCTCAATGTCTTTCTATTTTACATTTGGTGTTTTGTTTTATTTTATTTTCATCCAGCATTGTGTTAGACCCTCTCAAAAGTTAATGTGGTGGCAAGCTACATCTTATGGTCACTACTTGTGGCTGAACCCCACTCATTTACCATATATGTCAGTGTGCCAGACTTCTGTATTCTGTTTGTTCTGTTGTGTCTGTGATTTCATTGTTCTATGACTTTGGCTCTGCTACATTTCCAAATTATGCGTGTCCATCAGGCTACAATACCAACCAACCACTTTCATCCCTAAGTAACAAACAAATCCTTCTTAAAGTGTTACTCCAAACATGATGACCAAATCAGTGATTTGAAGTAATCATGATGTCTGGAGTCTATGCAGTTTTTTGCTACCCTTCTGCTGCCAGATATGTAATTCCACCAATGGTAGTGTCATTAAGGTTGTCATTAACCAGCCTGGAACAAGAATTCTGGGTGGCTAATGTGAATTCTGTACAAAACTAGTGACTAGTGCCAGCACACAGGGCCGGATTAACATAGGGGCTGATGGAGCTGCAGCTCTGGGCCCAGGCCCATGGAATAGACCCATTTAAAAAAAAAAAAAATGTTAACTTTTTTTTACACACTACTCTTAGGTTTGCCACCTGGCTGGTATTTTACTGGCATAGCCGGTATTTGAAGCTGCCTGGCTGTGCAGGTATTGCAGTAATACCGGCAATACAAATGCAGGTATTTTTCTCAGTATAAACAGAGATTACTCTGCAATACCAGCACCTGCCAGTAGGGGTTAGGGAGGCAGGGATAGGAAGTTACAGCATATTCCTGCCTCTCTCTACTACTCACTGGTCCATGGGGGAGCATCTACACAGGACAGGGAGTCCAGACAGCAGCTCAGGTAAGTGAGGGATGGGGGAAAGGCAGCAGGGAGACTTGGGGACACTGAGACACTAGGGGACACATGGGGACAAAGACACTAGGGGACACTGGGAGACCTGGGGACACAGATACTTGTGGACACTGGAAAACATGGGGACACTGAGACACTGGGGGACACTGTGAGACATGGGGACGCTGAGACACATGGGGACGCTGTGAGACATAAGGACATTTGGAGACACTGAGACATTGGGACATGGAGACAATAGGGACACAGTGTCCCCATGTCTCCCAGTGTCCCCATGTCCCCCAGCCAGTGTCCACAGTGGCTCAGTGTCCACATGGCTCCCAGTTTCCCCTAGTCTCCCAGTGTCTGTGTCCCCATGTCTCTCAGTGTCCCTAGTGACTCAGAGTCCCCATGTCTCCCAGTATCCCCATGTCTCCCAGCCAGTGTCCTCAGTGTCCTCATGTCTTCCAGTGTCCCCAAGTCTCCCAGTGTGTGTCCCCATGTCTCCCAGTGTCCCCATGACTATGTCCACAAGGGTTCCTAGTGTCCCAGTGTCCGCTAGTCTCCCAGTGTCTCCTAGTCTCCCCGTGTCCCCTAGTCTCCCAGTGTCTGTGTTCCCATGTCTCTCAATGTCCCTAGTGTCTTAGTGTCCCCAAATGTTTCAGTGTCCCCATGTCTCCCAGTGTCTGTGTCCCCATGTCTCTGTGTCCCTAGTGTCTCAGTGTCCCCATTTCTCCCAGTGTCCCCAAATGTCTGTGTCTCCATGTCTCCCAGTGTCCCCATGTCTCCCAGTGTCCCCATGTCTCCCAGTGACACTGTGACACAGTGACACATAGGGACACTGAGACACTGGGTGACTTGCGAGACTGGGAGACAGGGAGACACTGGGAGCAATTCATCTATACAGCAGAATCAAACTGTGAGTAGTTTGTTGGTGATTTTACAGAATTTCCCCTTATGTCACTCCTTGTGATTTACATCATGTGATGTCATGCATAACTAATTAATTATACAAATGATTAAGGCTGGTATTTATTTTCCAAGAAAGGTGGCAACCCTAACTACTCTTCACATACTCTTGCTTAAAGGAACACTATAGGGTCAGGAACACAATCATGTATTTCTGACCCTATTATGTAAAAACCACCCCTTGACCTCCTCTTGCCTCCCTAAATATAGTAAAATCTTACTTGTATTCAAGTCTGCAGATGCTGGCTCTGCCTCTGAACTGACATCATCAGAAGTGGTGGTCTGAGCAAATTACAAAGCTTCCCCATAAGATTGGCTGAGACTATCAACTAGGCAGATCAGGGGCAGAGCCAGCACAAGTCAAACATAGCCCTTGCCAATCAGCATCTCCTCATAAAGATAAATTGAATCAATGCAGCTCTATGAGGAAAGTTCAGTGTCTGCATGCAGAGGGTGGAGACACTGAGTGGTAGTGCTGCACACTAGGCAGTACTGCCCCAGGAAGCACCTCTAGCAGCCATCTAAGGAGTGGCTAGTGGAGTTATTTTCTCTGAAAAGACAGTGTTTACTGCAAAAGGCCTGAATGGAATGATTCTACTTACCAGAACAAATACAATAAGCTGTAGTTGTTCTGGTGACTATAGTGTCCCTTTAATTTTGGAAGCCTAAGAGGGATTTACTTTAACATTTAAGAATTATTTTGGTCATTGTGGTAAAAATTGCATGACTGTTCTTATACATCGTCTCACCCATGCCAGGAAATGCGATTAATCTTCAGTGTATCCTGTGTAGTTTGAGGACTAGTGTTAGGGAATCGTTTTGATGACCACATGTACTGAAAACACAACAAACAGCATCTTCTCACTAGGCTATAGACAAAGGTTCAGACAGTTTTTTTTTTCTCAATTCCTTAAACAACCACACAGGGCATTAACTTGTGTGGACTGGCTGACAATAAAATTAGTTTAGATAATGCAGACTTTGGTTTCCATAAGACTGTGGCATGTCCCCTTTCTTCTACACTCACTACCTACACCTTTACTCTGTCCCAGACTATATACCAGGAACTTCTGCCTGCTAGTAAGATGATAAGGAGACAATTGGACATGTGAGTGCTAGGGGACAGTCCTTAGAAAGCGTGGAGTAGGCGCATCATTTGATGCATTTATGTCAAGCTCAGGGTGCTGCCTGCATAGTTGGACAGCCTGCATGATTGGCAGGCAGCCTGACATGCATTCATGCCAGGCTGGCCTTCCAATTCTTTGGACAAACATGCCCCTTTTTGGGCATGTTCACCCCTTATGGCAGATCTGGTCACGTGATTCGTGTCAGTGGCACACCCTTTTACCCCACCCATTGACTTCCTGCTTCACTGGACACTGCTATTAGGGGGTATGGATTTACTTGAAAGATGAAAGCATAAATTAGAGAGAGATTAGCATAGAGTATGTGTTTTCGTATAGCTGCATCCTTTCCCTCTAACACCATCTCCATCAGATACACGACGCTTGGAAGGTATGGTTGTTTTAGTGTTTTTGGTCGATATGATTCTGTAATTAGGCCCATCATAATTGTCAGCTCCAGGCCCACTGGGCTCTTAATCTGGCCCTGCCAGCACACATAGCATGTTGGCATCCAACAGTCTATTGCAGCAGGCCATACCGTATGCTTGTCCTACCTGACATCCCTCTTTCTTTAGTGAGGAGGAATGATGTCAGTGGAGGAAGATCAGACTGAAAGGAGAACTTGGCCTTGGTGTTGGAGCAGAAATACATTTGAACTGTTTTCTTTTTGAGAGGAGGTAAGGAGGTTGGAGGGGACCATATAAGAAGAGTTACTATGTTCAAAAATAGTGTTTCCTTAAAACACTGCTTTTTGTTGTATTAAACCTTTAAGCATTGATGTGATAGCCAGTAGGGAACAGGGCAATTGGAGTCACAAAACCTGCCCATTTTGCACTCCTTTGGTATTCTCTTTCCCAGGCTATGCATCATTCTTGCCGGTTTCAACTCCAAAAATTAAGCCACTAACCAGAGACACTGCATCAGTATTAATGCATGATTCAACTTCAAAAAAGAAGCCACTGAATTATTATTACTGTTATTATTTATAAAGCACCAACAAATTCCGCAGCGCTATAAAATGGGTGAACTAACAGACATGTATTTGTAACCAGATGAGTTGGACATACAAGAACAGAGGGATTGAGGGCCCTGCTCAATGAGCTTGCATGCTACAGGGAGTGGGTTATAGTAAAACAAAAGGTAAGGGTAGGGTAAAAAAGTAGGTTGCTAAGGTAGTATTTACTGAGGGCTTACTGTTTTGTTTTGATGACAGCTGCAGGAGAGGAATTTGGATGCGGGGAGAGAAAGCTGTTCACAGTTTAATAGATATGCTTTTCTAAAGAGGTAAGTTTTCAAAGATTTTTTGGAGGAGTGGAGACTGGGTGAAAATCTAACTGAGAGGGGGAAAGGCATTCCATAGGAATGGTGCAGCCCTAGAGAAGTCTTTAAGGTGAGCATCAGAGGTAGAAGTACAATCAGAGGTTAGATGTAGGTCTCCGGCTGAGCGTAGGGGTCTAGACAGAACATATTTGTGTATTAGTGAGGATAAGTTGGTTAGAGCAGCATTGTGTAGAGATTTGTAAGCAAGTATCAGGATCTTAAATTGAGTCCTATATCTTACACTAAGCCAATGTAGGGACTGACAGAGGGGGAAGGCGTGGGAGGTGCGGGCGGACAGGAAGATGAGCCTTACCGCTGCATTCATTATAGACTGTAACGGGGCAAGTTGGGAATACGTAAGACCACTGAGAAGCAGACTACAATAGTCAACACCTTTGCTCTATCAGTTATTAAATAGGGTCGGATGTGCACTATGTTTTTTAGATGGAAGCGGATGGATTTGGCAATTGATTGGACATGAAGGGTGAAGGAGAGATCAGAGTCAAAGAGAACATCTAGGCAGTGAGCCTGCGAGGTGGAGCAGATGGTTGCTCCATTGGCTTGGAGGGAAACAGACAAGGGAGAAGCAACACTTGAGAGAAGGAAGACCAGAAGTTCTGTTCAGGGCCGGCGCTACCTGTTAGGCGGACTAGGCAGCCGCCTAGGGAGCGCCGCCCCCCCATGCTGTAGAGAGCCTCAGGCGGCTGCAGCTTTGCCCGGGCGGTGCGTCCATGAGGGCGGACCGCACCGCCCGGGCGCAGCCTGAGGAGAGGGGCTGACAGGAGGGAAGCACTCAGCGCTCCCTCCTGTCAGCTCCCTCACTGTAGCGTGGCCGAGCCCAGTATAGTCCGCGGGTACAGGGAGCATCTGTCTCCTGTACCCGGCCGGACTAACAGGAAATGCACACTGAGTGTTCACTTCCTGTTAGTCCGGCCGGGTTCAGGAAATAAAAGCTCCCTGTACCCACGGACTAAACTGGACTCGGCCACGCTACAGCAAAGGTGGGGGGGAGGAGAAAGAAATTGGGAGGGGAGGGGGGGGAGGAGAAATTGGCCGGGGAGAAGAAGAAATTGGCA